ACCGGGACCGGGACCGGGACTCAAACCGAGCTCAGGCTCTACGAACGAGTTCTCCTCGTAGATTCTGTCGCTAGCGGGAGGAGAACGATATTCCGAGCGGGGTGGGAAGGGCGAGTTCGCTTTCCTGGAACCCCGGCGAGCCCGGGCCCTGTCGGTCTCTCCCTTCCCCCAGAAATGCCCGGCGAAGCCACAGAAACCGTCCCGGCCACGGAGCAGGAATTGCCGCAGCCTCAGGCGGAGACAGGTGAGGCCGGGAGAAGCTCCGGAGCAATTTTTAGGGTGATTTCGGTGGGATTTACAGGAGGAACGGGGGAGCTGCAAGAACCGGTGGCGGATTTTTTGGGGTGTCCATCCCATCCCGGAGGTTTTGGGGTATCTCGTGCTGTAGTCAAAACAAATTCGGGCCGGTTTTGTGTTTTTTCCACCCACAACACGCGAGTTATCCTACAGGGAACGTGACTGGAGTCATGGGATAGGAATTCCCAAATCCCGACTACAGGGATAGGTCGGGCTTTACTTTAAGCCTGGTTTGAGTGGTCCCTGCTTAAAGGTGGGAGCGGGAGGGAATCGGGAATCGGCCGTGGATTTTGCCCTGTTGAATTTGGGGATGTGCCCTGTTGCATTTGAGGGTCTTCCCGTTGGAGTTTGGAGATCTTCAGTTTTGGGGTCTTCCCTGTTGGATTTAAAGGTTTGCTCCTTTGAATTTGAGGGTTTTCCACTGAATTTTGGGGGTTTGCCCCTTTGGATTTGCGGTTTTTTTATTGAATTTTGGGGATCTGCCCCATTGGATTTGAGGGTCTTTTTATTTAATTTTGGGGGTTTGCCCCTTTGGATTTGGGGTCTTTCACTGAATTTTGGGGGTTTGCCCCTTTGGATTTGGAGATATTTCCTTGAATTTTGGGGATTGTCCCATTGGATTTGGGGTCTTTTCATTGAAATTTGGGGGTCTACCCCATTGGATTTGAGGGGTTTTTAGTTGAATTTTGGGGGTCTGCCCCACTGGATTTGGGGGTCTTTCCTTAATTTTTGGGGGTCTGCCCCATGGGTTTGGGGGTCTTTCACTGAAATTTGGGGGTCTGCCCCATGGGTTTGAGAATCTGCCCCATGGATTTGGGGGTCTTTCACTGAATTTTGGGGATTGTCCCATTGGATTTGGCGTCTTGTTGAATTTTGGGGATCAGCCCCATGGATTTGGGGTCTTTCACTGAATTTTGGGGGTTTGCCCCTTTGGATTTGGAGATATTTCCTTGAATTTTGGGGATTGTCCCATTGGATTTGGGGGTCTTTCCTTAATTTTTGGCGGTCTGCCCCATGGATCTGCCCCATGGATTTCTTTTGTTGAATTTTGGGGGTCTGCCCCATGGATTTGGGGGTCTTTCCTTAATTTTGGGGGGTCTGCCCTGTTGGATTTGGGGTCTTTCACTGAATTTTGGAGATTGTCCCATTGGATTTGGGGTCTTTTGTTGAATTTTGGGCATCTACCCCGTGGATTTGAGAGTCTGCTCCATTGGATTTGGGGATTTTCCATTGAATTTTGGGATCTGGGATCACGAGGGTTGGTGACAGAGAGGGACACAAGGAGGTTGCTGTGACAGCTGCTCCGATGATTCCCAGGGAACTGCTGAGCTCCTTATCCCTCCCAGCAGCGTATCTGGAATTCCTGGCTGGGGCCCCTTTCCTGGGATGGCTCTTTTACCCCCTCTCAGCTGACAAATCCCAAAATTCTGCTGCTCTCAGGCAGCTCTTTGGATGTTTGTCTCGTTCTGTGGAAGTCCTGGAAAAATCCTGGAGATGGAGCTGGTTTTTGCTGATCCAGAGGTTCAGCTTTAGGCAAGCTCTGCTGTGGTGGTTTGAACATCCCTTAAAAATCCTGAGGTTTTTGGGAATTCTGCAACTTGAGAAAGACCCAAAGAAAGGTGGGGCTGTGAGGGGAGAGGTGACACAATGATTGTTTTTATCAGGAATGTGCTCAAACAGTTCCAGTTGAGCTGGTGAAGGAACAGGGAGAGCAGGAAGGGATAAAAGATTGTTCTGGAGAAGGTGGCTCTGCACAGCCTGTCCCAACACAGCCCTTGGCACGACTTGTTGCTCTTTTTGGAGGCACCAGAACGTTCCCTGGAGCAGGAAATGTCCTGGCACTGATGTCCAGCTCCACAGTCTCGTGATTTGGGGCAGAATGGGGTAAAATAGAGCATCAGAAGAATTTTTCAGGACCCTATTTTGGGAAAAAGGAAAGAGATGTAATTTCTTGCATTCCATGAACTGGGTGGCAGCAAGACAAGACATGAGTGTGACCCTGACCCCAAGGGTGTGACAGGGACACCTGGCAGTGCCACCCAGCCCAGAACTGGGAGGAGGGGCAGGATYTGGAATGGGATTTTGGGCTCCACAGCTCCCGGTGGAGCTGCAAAGGGCGGCACCGGGGCCGGTTCTGCTCTCCCGACCGGTACCGGGGCCGGTTCTGCCGGTTGGAGCGGCACTGCCCTGCCC